AAAAAAAAGAAATTGTGGGCTAGGGCTGTAGCTCAGTTGGAAGAATGCTTGCCTAGCAGGCATAGTGTTCTGAGTTTGATCCTAAGGACCACATAAATGTGGTGTAGTGCCTGTAATCTCAGCACTCAAGAGGTAGAGGTAGGAGGATCAGAAGTTCAAAGTTATTCTTGGCTATATAGTAAACTGGAGTACAACCTGGGCTTCATAAGACCTTGTCTCAAAAACTATTTTTAAAAAGTAACAGATAAGGTATATATTTTTGTGTACGTGTCTAGGTGTGCACATGCCACAGTGCACGTGTGGAGGTCAGGGGACAACATGTAAGAGTTGGTTCTTTTTTCCATCATGGGGTCCAGGTGATTGGACTCAGATCTGCAGTCTTGGTGGTAAGTGCCTTTATTGGCCAAGTCATTTAGCTGATGGGGAAATAGGATCTTTAAAAAGGACAAACAGGGTATATTACCCCTGAGTATCAGTTCTGGTCTGCAATTTTTGAAGTGTTGAATAATTTATCCTTGCATTAAAACATACTTAAATGGAAACAAATACAAGCTTTAAAGATAACCTAGATTTCAGACATTTATTGTTCTAGATGAGTGCTTCCCCTGCTTTAGGGTCTCATTCTCCACACAGAATGCATTAGAGGAAAGGCAAGAAGTGAGACCAGAGAGACCTATGTATAAAGTCTGGGATATTTCTGAGGAGGTTGGGCTCTTCTGGTCTTGGGAGTCTAGGTCTTACATCCTATCTTCCACGTTCTCTTGGGCCCTGTTCTGGTAGATTAGAAGGACGATTTGAGGTTATTTATTGGCAGAGAGATGCCAAACCGTGGGGACACCTGTTTGTTTCTTCCTCCCACTCTCTTATTGTTTGAGGCACTTGCCATCCTTTCCCTGCCAAGGGGCACCTGCCAAATGGAAGACAAATTCAATAGACACGGACCTGGAACACCACCTCGAGCGGGATTAACTCTGTAATTTGTTACGTCCAGGTTTACTGACCTGTGCATTCTTGTCAACATTTCCTTATGCTTCATTCGGGTGGGGACAAAAACTTTACCGTCAAGAACTGCCAGCCCACGAAGTAAATACTCTTTTGAATGGCGTTTCTAGGAATCTCTGTGCTAGTTCTAAGCCTTAAGAAAAAGCTAGAAGATCCAGAAAGCCAGGTAGGGGTGAGATTAGTCATTCCCCACATCTGTGACCCCATTTAGGGGCCCTGTAACGCAGATGACCTCCAAGAAATGTAAAATTGACTATCAAAAAGACACTGCAACAGATTTCGAGGAAATCTTTAATAAAGTCCACGACCCTGGCCTGGTAGTGCCTGCATTTGAAATTCGGGTTATTTCCTACCGGAAAGGTCACCAGTAGCTCCTCCCAGCATCCTCGGGCGACATGAGCATTCTCGGAGCCTGAGGCCAAAGCTGGCTGTAGGGATGGAGCCTAGGCCGCTTAAGCCTAGCTCTCCGCCCTGGCTGGACCAGGCATCCTTCCTCTTCTTGAAGCCCGGCGACCTCAGGTCCCGCCCACCGAAGGGGCGTGGCTCAGCGCGGAGACCCCGGGGTGGGCGGGGCTGCCGGGGGCGCCGCTGCAGCGTAGTTGCTGACGCTGCTGACGCGGCAACAGCCAGGCCGCTGTCCGGCTCCCGCCGCCCGCCCCGGCCGGCCCGGCCCGCCCCCAGCTCCACGCCCGGCCTCCACTGTGTCCTGTCAGACCGTGGCGGCCCGCGGCACTGCACGCTATCCTTCTCTGTGCTGCAGCCCCGTGAGGCAACGATTGAGCGCGCCCACTTCCCAGCCGGCCCGCGCCCGCTCCGCTCCGCCTTCTTCTCAGCCGCCCGCCAGCCCCGTAGCGACATGGCTCAGGCGCCCGCCAGCTACCCCAGTTCCCGGGGCTCCGGGGACGGCGATTTGGGTAAGCCCAGGAAGGTGGCCCTCATCACCGGTATCACCGGCCAGGTGAGTGCGGGGCGGGGGCAGCGGCCTGCGCACGTGTGTGTCCCCACGCGGTCCGCGGACAGCCCTGCCTGACGCGTCCCGGAAGGTGTGTGCGGCCCCGTGGCAGGACGGCTGCTGCCGGGACAGCCTGCTTTCTCCTCTCTCTCTGGGGGTGTGAGCGCCTCGCGGAATGGCATCTCCACGCGCGGGCAGGACCACCCTCCCTCACCTGTCCGCCGGTGACTGCAGCTCTTCTTCCTCCCAGACCGAGGGCGCGTTTGGAATTCCGTTCCCTGCAGATCCAGATTCTGGAGCAGGGAAGGAAAAGAGCCCGTGATCTGTCAATATGTGCGTGCAGTCATTTCGCTCTGTCTCCCTTACCTGCAGTTCGTGGGCCTCAAGGAAGGGGCTGTCACGGTGCTCTGGTTCCCTCTTACCAGCGTTCCAGATAAGACGTAATGATAGCTGTCACAAATTATTTTTATTCTTATTTTTACATTATTTTTTTCTTTTAGCCATACAAACTTGTGAGAGTCATGATGGATTATTACGGAACTGAGAAATAACCAGGAGACCAGCATGGCTTTTTTTGCCCGAAGCACAGGCAGCTCTGCTTTTATTCTCATACTCATTAGAGCTACAGATGAATGTTTACACTACAGTGAACAATAATAAAGTGGCTAGAATATAGCAGTTTAGCAAAATATAATGAGCAAGATAACATTATCACCATTGTATGTCTTCTTAGGCGATCAAAGTGTCTCCTGAGAAAGTAGGGGAGCACCGGCATTCACGAGATAACTTCCCAGCAAGTATTCTTGCATAAACTTTTTTCATGAGATACAGGGCTCTCCAGACACTGATGCTCAAAGTGCAGCTTAGTTCACCAAACATAGTTTTAAAGCCATAGGAATACTCTTTCACAGTCCCTTCAGACAAGTCCCTAAGTGAGGCCAGCATTCTTATTCCAAGGAACTGAGCTCTTTTGGGTGAGATTAATCACGGGGTCTTGAATGTTGGGACCTGGTGTTGCACGCGGAATATGGCTAGTTTATGACAGTCATCTAGAAGTGTTGCAACAGGTAGGGCTGACCACTCTCTATCGAGCTGTGCAGTTTTAGATTAAACGGTAGAGAAGTAATCAAGCCTTTATTGCTGCAGAAGAAGTGTGTACATCCCTGGATAGTTCTGGTGGTGGCCAAAGTAATGCTGTAATGAAGATAATGAAAATGATAATAGCTAATATGTATTACACTTACTATATCGTAGTCAGTTGGCTAATACTGACTCGTTAGTTCCCACAACAAACTCCTTATTCCTACCTTCTAGATGTGGAAATCAAGGTTTAGGAGTTTAAATTACCAGATGCCCCAAAGATAATGACTCCTAACCCAAATTTCAAGGATCCTTGAAAGACTGTGACATGAATGCAGAGGCCCATGCTTGAATGTACATTTTAAAAATAATATTGGCTGGGCACTTACTGATGTTCTCACTGTGCTAGGCATTTTATATAGCCCCACCCAAGAGGCAGGTGTAACTTGTATTTGAGAGTTTATTTGGCTGATGCAGAGTGGCTTACAAAACTTGGAAATAGTGTTTTCTTCCCCTCCCCCTGACTAAGATTCTTTTCTGGAGACTCTACACTTGGTCAGGTAAGATTAAGTATGTCCTTTTGGTCATACACCGAATGAGTGCCGTAACAGAAATACAAACTCAAGAGACACTCCATTGCTCCAAGCCACCTTATTATATTACCTTTAGTAAAACATTTCATTCATTTTTCTTGGTGTGGGGGGGGGTTAGTTGGTTCATTCAAGTGCCCCTGATCTGGCACTTAGTGCAGTCATGATTAATGTGTCAATGTGTTGTTCCAAATTCCTGCTTGAGAATGGCAGACAGCCAGGGTATCCCTGTCAGTGAAGTACTTCTAGTCTTTGTTCTCAGCTTCTTATTCTAGCTCTCTCCTCCTGTCTATTCTCTGCTCAGTAGTTGTGTCCCCTTTTCCAAAGTGCGCACTCTCTGGAATAACCTTCAACCCTGGCCCTGCTGCCTTTGCATTGCTGTCCAGGCCCACTGCCAGCCAGCCCCAAAGCTTATGCCTGTTGTCTAATGATGTTTGCCATCCTTTATTGCACTCATGGAAATGATTTTGTTGTTCCTTGAGTACTGTTGCCTTGTACCTCTTTGGAGTCATTATTTAAACTGAATGGATAAGTCCTGTTCCTTTTAACTTGACTAAAGACCTCAGTGTTTTCACACTAATCCTGCCAAATGTAGCCAAGCCAAGAACTTTCTTTGTAAATATGCATTCCTGTTAGTTCTATAGGTAACTGACATTTCCATGCTTATAAACTGCCCTAAAATGAGAGATTTCATTTGCATTCTGTTACCTTCCGCCTGGCTTTACCTGGTGGACTTTCAAAAAATTGACTTACTCTCCCTATTAACAGAACACATCTGTAATGTGCATCTGCAGTATGCAGGCTTGTTTTGAGACTACTGGTGGTACAAAGGTATGTAAAATATACTCTGTACCCACTAGGATCTTTAAGGAGCTGAAGACAATACACATGGAAAGACAGCACCCATGAAAAAGTTAGTATTACACAAGAGTGTAAGGGTATTTGCAGTGTGAGTATTCCCTCCAACCCTTCAGGAATAGTCACTGAATGCTAAAAACAGGATAACTTTAAATTCCTAATCCTCCTGCCTCTGCTTCTAACTTTAATTCCACCTCTCTTTCCCAGTGCTGAGATTTCAGGCATGCATCACCACACCTGATTTATGGTTTATGTGGTCCTGGAGATCAAACCCAGGACATTGCGCACACTAGCCAAGCACTCTTTTCAGCTGAGCTACATCCCCAACCTCTAAGGGTCTTTATCACTTATAGATTGGTGGATTATAGTAATTAAATAAGCCTGATCATTTACTAAGTCTACATTAAAAAGGATTTATTTTTATTTTCTGTGTATGAGTGTCTGCATATATGTATGTGCATCTGTGTGCCTAGTACCCACAGAGGTCAGAAGACAGAACCTAGAGTTGCAGATGGTTGTGAGCTTCCATGTGGGTGCTGGGGGCCAAATACGGGGCCCCTGCAAGAGCAGCCAGTGCTCTTAACTTTCCAGCCCCTATATATCTTTTGTTTGTGAGGTTGTTTATCCCACAGATATTTGAGTTGTTTCTTCAGGTAATTCTTTGGAATGAACATGTTGCTAATAATTAATTTTACAAACTCTAGAGACTAAGACTCTATTGCAGAGTAGAGTAGAATGAGTTGGATTTCTAGACCAACCTGGATTTGAATTGCTATGTAACTACTTCCAGACTACATGGCTTCGGGTAAGTTTACCACATAGTAAGGACCTTTGCTCCACTGTGAGAATGGATTCTTCTTCCCAGTTATGACAATTTTCTTGAATTTTTGCAAAAGGAGTTGAATGGAGGAGCCAGGTTGGATAGAAAACCTGGCTTTTTATGAGGAATGCATAGCCAGGAGTGGAAGTTCCATGGTATTTGGAATCAACTACAAGAGTATAATGTCCTGGCTGGGCATGTGACACATGCCTTTAATCCCAGCACTTGGGAGGCAGAGGCACAGGCAGGCAGATCTCTGTGAGTTTAAGACCAACTTGATCCAAATATTGAGTTCTAGGCTAGCTAGGGCTACATAGTGAGATCCTGTTAAAATATAT